CCACTTCCGGCTCCAACCCACGTCTCCGACCGGGGATGCGCCGAACCCCTGCTTACAGCTCTTCTCCGACTTGCGCAGTCGGAGACGATTGGGACCAACCGACCGAGGACGCCCACTCGGTGAGGACCAGGAAATAGACGGAGCAAGTAAGGCAGGGCACTCAAGTCAATCGCAATACTGAGGACCGTACCCTATACACCTGCAGGACAGTACCCTGCAACCTTCCTGGCATCAACAGTGTTGTCGGCGCCGACATTTTCCCTATAGTGTTGTGGGCGCCATCGACTCCCATACCAGGCAAACACGGTAAGGCTCCCCCCACATGCCTCTGGGCATCAACAGTGTTGCGGACGCCGGCATTTACCGTACTAGGCGAACATGGTAAAACCCCGTACATGCCTCTGGGCATCAACAGTATAGCAGGCACCGATGTCTACCATATCAGAAGAAGACGACGCAACCTCCCACATGCATCTGACATTAACAGTGTTATGGACACCTACAATCATCTTGTACCCAACGGCGTGGGCAACAAGACTTAGCATACGTACACTCTCCCTCTCTCACTTGTAAGGCCATCCCCTTCATCTATAAAAGGGGATGCGCTCTCTCCCAAAGGGGGAATCGAATCAGTTCACTTACATCAATTTAATACACAACAACAGAACCACTAGGATCAAACCTCGAGCACATGCTCGAACACTTAGCACATAGCGGAGCTCCCGTCACTCTCGGCCCTTCAGACCAGAGTCCGACCGGACCTCTTTTACCCCCCATCTTTCTCCCTTCCGTTTGTAACCCCACAGCAAACTTCGAGCACCTGGGCTCAGGAATAAAGTCACCGACCGACTCAAACTGGACGTAGGGCACGTTGTCTGAACCAGTATAAACCATGTGTCATTGAGTGCTAGGCCACATCCGATCACAATGTACGACAAAATTACAAATATTTACGTGTTGGTCACTTTCTGCACCGACATCTAGATATAATCCAAATTTGAGGAAGTTCTTCGGACTTTTTCCTTGGGGTCGTTTGGATCTCTTCATTTGGAGGAATTGAAAAATAAAATCTATTTAATAAATTAGACTATTTGGCTTGGAATTTAATATTCCACCACTTTTCAAAGTTCACATATAAGCCTATCGTAAATTCATAGGGTGGAAAACGAAAATTCAATTTATAGATCACCATTTTATGTTTCTATTTTGCAACTTATAACACGCTCTTCATCTCGCTCTCCTATGGTAGAAATGCAACACATAAGTATTATCTCGTATAGCCAATAATAATATACAAATATAATCTATATACAACCATATTAGCTTAATTACTTAATGAAATGAATTCAATTCAAGGATCTAAACGGGCCCTTTGATATATATATCTATGTGTGTGTATATACACACATAAGGAAATTCAAAGTATACTAAATAAAAAAACAGTCATACACTATAGTTTCCTCTCCCTCCCTCCCTCCCTCTTCTCTCTTTTTTCTTAAAAAATGCACTCAAGCAAGCACTGAAGCACCGAGAGATAAAAGAGAGATCAGGAGAAAGTGCCACCTATAAAGAAAATATCATCAAACAGATACGTTGCAAAAAGGCATGACATCTACTACCGGTGCCGGTGCCCCAAGTCCATGAACACACACCAAAATATCATTAGGGTCATTATCCTGCTTGAGTTACATTTCTCGGCCACAAGTCCATTCTCCTTTAAAATAAAATAAAAACTGAAACAGCAAAGCCCATTCATTGATTGATCGCTACTTCTAGTACTTCCAAGATGCCAAACCAAAAGCAAAGAAAAGAAAAGGAAACTTTGTATTTTATATTCTATAAATCTTCGCAAAAAAAAAAAAAACAGGGTGCTGAATTACATATGTTTGACCCATCTCAATTCCCTTTTCGAACACATACCATATCATACTGTCTAAATTAAGCGTGCAAAAAGGAATCTTTTTCTTGACACAATCGGATTCAATGGTCCAAAAAAGTAAAAACAAAAGAAATGACGACTAGATGAAATTGTAACCAACAAAGTTAGAGAATCCATGCGCACAAGTAAATAGGACAAAGAAGAAAGAGACGATCAATATACGTGGATTGTGATGTGCCCTTGTAGTTCAGACATCTCCGGGTCACAGGTGAGACTGCCGTCACCAATAGCAATAGGCATATGCATATTCATGTATCATGCCTGTGTGCAGTGCACAGGATCAAGAAAGTCCATCCTGCAGAAGCATTTACCAAAGTCAGGGCTCACTAGTGGCCACTGGCCGCCGGCCGCCTATCCATCATCCATCGGGAATATTTGACTCATTTCAGATGCCCACTCACCACGCGAGATACTTTTTATGAAATATACGTAACCAGCGTACATAAAACATTTTAGTTTTTCGAGATATATAACTTTTGATATGCATTTAGATATAAACTATAGACCCGTTTGGATACCAGGAGGCTAAAGTTTAGCCCAATCACATCGGATGTTTGATGCTAATCAGAAGTATTAAATATAGGTTAATTATAAAACTAATTACATAAATGAGGGCTAATTCACGAGACAAATTAAGCTCGATTAGCAGTAAACAAAACATGTGTTGGTGATAGATTAATTGGGCTTAATAGATTCGTTCGCGAATTAGCCACGGCTTCTGCAATTAGTTTTATAATTATCTCATGTTTAGTCCTCATAATTAGCATCCGAACATTCGATGTGATAAGAGTTAAGCTTTAGCCGAGGATTCAAACACCCCCTACGTAAAAACTATAATGTCCTGTAATTTGGAAGAGCCATAGCAACCACCCACCACCACCCACGAGGAAAAAAAACACATCAATGGCTCTTATCTGCTTCAAGGCGCTGCGGCTGCAGCTAAACACCTACACGATACTGTAGCTAAAACTGTGCAGCCGCAGCTCTTCCGATCATCAGCACACAAGGGCCAAAGCAAACGTTACATCATCTTGCATATTGTGGTGGTTCATCATTCCGTAGTGCAAAAACTAACCATTAAAAAGGTAAACAGTTTTCTCCAAACAGATGCACTCTCGTCCAATATCCTGGGTAACACTTGTCAAGATCAATGACTAATGATGACCACACTCAGCTGACATTGTAGAATGTAAAACATACAATCTCTGGTCAGGTACTAGCAGTTACTCACCTGGATTCTGTTTGTTGACTGTTGGTTGCAGAAATGCTCTTGCAGTAATGAACCAAAAATTTCAGGGGTCAAATATCTCTCCACCTTGGAGACACTTGTACAGAAAGAGAAGGGAAGAAAAACCTAAGAGCAATCCTGGATTCCATATTCTGTTTTGTAGTTCCCAAAAGGCACTGTTGTTTTAGAAAGAAAGGTGCTTTCTCATCTTCTTAATCCGAAATGAAATGGCCGAGGAGAAGGTTATTCCTTTTGGGTACACCCAAGAGATAGCAACATCATCCATGCTGGAGCTTGAATGTGATTCTCACAAGTCACAACAAGGGCCAAAGCAAATATTACAGCATTCATTATGCCACGGTGCAAAAGCACACCATTCAAAAGGTAAACAATTTTTCTCCAACAGATGCATATACTCTTGTACAAATGTACAATAGCCTGTCCAACAGCTGTCAAGACTAATAACTACTGATGACCACACTCAGCTGACATTATAGAGTCCATAACATACATATATCTCTGGTCCACTAACAGCAGCATCCGGTTCCAAAAGGCATCAATCCTAACTAAAGGCAATTCAGCTACTCACCTGAACTTCGTGGTTTTGAAAGATGCACTTGCACCCTAATTTTGGCAGCATGAAATGAAGCCACAATGAACCGAAAAATTCAGGTGTCCAATTATTATAGCAGAAAGAAAATGGAAGAAAAAGGTAAGGTGTGAATTATTACCGCAGAAAGAAAAGGGAAGAAAAGGTAAGAGCAACCCTGGATTCCATATTCTGTTTTGTAGTTCCCAAGTCCCAACTGAAAGCAGCACTATGAAAACATATATATAGTCCTCGTATCTCCACCCATACAGTATCATAATGCAAAGTCACTTTGGCTAACCGAAGGAAGCCCAAATCAAATCTTCGGCCTCTATCAAGAAATATGAAATGCAGGTCACTTGCTCCAAGTTGGACTTTACCCCCACTTTGTTGGCAACTTGAGAGAGATGTATCAACATGGTCAAACTTGGAGCTGGAGCTGCTTTGAGTGCTTTGAGTCTACATCAAAAGCTAATACATACTACTAGTAGGCCGAAACTAGATATTGATGAACCACAGAGGACAGGGCAGCTTGGAGTTTTATGTCTATCAGACGAGGTCTTGCAGAAGGAATATGAATAGAGAAACATATGATGCATGAGTTTCCAACCAGGAGGGAAAAGAAGAACCCTACTGCGATTTATGGATGTGCTGAAACTTAATGTAACATGACCTGACCACAGCGTAGGATATGTAGCGAGACAGAAGAATGCTACCATTTCAAAGCAGTATAATACGAAGCCATGGTGAATTGGCGATTGAACCGATTTATGGTGAAGATTAGTATGCATTTATTATATGTAAGGGAAAGAAAGATCAGTTTTGCCCGTTAGAGCGGAGGAGTGAAACACAACTAAGTACAGAAACAAAATTAGGAGTACTAAGCAGCATCAGTGCAAGAAAGGAAACACATCGGTAGCAACAGTGTTACAAGTTGATTAGGAACAACGATCACAAAAACAAAAAGAAGCACTCTTCTACTAGCTAGCTAATTGAAGGTAATTTGGGTGGAAAAAGCAGAGTTTGCCCTGTTGTGTTTGGGAGGCAAAATCTGCAGTTTCCACCACGGTGGGCTCATGGTACTTACTACTACAGGTAATTACAACACGATTGCAAATGCAGCAGAAGTGAACTAGTGAAGTGGAAAAAAATACAGCAAGAAAAAAAGTGAAAGGCAGCATCTACTTGCTTGGTTGATGTTACCAGCAGAACAGAAAGCGTGGTGTCGGTGGTGGTGGGAGCATCTACTTGTTCCCGGCGGAATCGGCAACCGCGGCGTCGTCCTTGACCCGCACGAGCACAATCTTCTCGTAGACGAGGTGTGAGGGGTGCATGGGGTACTCCACCGGCGCGACGGGCCGGCGCTTGGCCACGGAGTACCAGAGGAAGAGCACAAGGAAGGTGAGCATTGCACCAGCCGCAGCCGCGAGCAGCAGGGACAGCGCAGCGCCCCAGGGGCTGCTGTAGCGGCGGTCGAGGGCGGGCGCGCGGGCGCTGGCGCTGGCAACGCGTTCTGGCGGCGGCGTGGTGAGCAAGTCGGTGGGGTTGAGCGGCATGGAGTGCATCCGGTTGGGAGCCGCGCGGAACGCCCAGGTGAAGAGTGTGCAGTTGCCGGAGGAGGTCCGGAATCCGGCGAGGATGGGGCCCCTGCGGAGGACGGGGGGCAGATGGAGCGGGTAGGAGAGCAGCGGCGGGGTCGGGGCAGGGGTCGGGTGGTGGGTGGGGGTGGGGGTGCGCGTGGCGGCGAGCCGGACGTGGAGCGTGTCCGTGGCGGGATTGGAAGAAGAGTTGTTGCTGTGGTAGTCTATCCAGGCGTGCAGGTGCAGCAGCTGGAGGCTTGGGGTGGTGGGAACGGGATGGTGTGTCTCCGTCTGGAGGACGGTGCGGCCGGCGAGGTCGAGGCGGACGTGGCGCGCGGAGAAGACGACGGAGAGGGCTGGGGGCGAGCGGGAGGCGGAGCCGGCGGAGGGCGTGAGGAAGAAGGCGAGGGAGGAGGAGGACGGGGCGGGAGGAGGGAGGGCGAAGGAGAAGTAGGTGGAGAATCCGGGCCGGAGTGCGGACGCGGCAATGGGGGTCCTGTACTGGACCCGTGCGCCTGGGATGGGCATGGAGACGTCGCCGGAGGTGGCATTGGCGCTGGCGCCGCCGGAGAGGGCGAGCTGCGCGATGGCGCCGGCGGCGGGGAAGAAGTCGAGGGAGAAGGACGGGGAAGAAGAGACGGCGGAGGCGGGGCGAGGTGGTAGTAGCAGCAGCGCAAGCGAGAGGCAGAGGAAGAGGGTGAGGGAGGGGAGAAGCGGCGGCGGCATCTGCATTGCCATCGCAGCAGTAGATACTGTTACAGCGATGAGGGAAATGAAGCTGCAGAGATAGCAAGAGTGAGAAGGAAAAAAAGAGAGAGAAATGAATCAGACGAAAAATGCTAGCTTGCTGGTGCTGATTGCATTGGCATGGATGGATCTCATCTGGCGATGGCGATGGAGTTGACAAGGGATTTCTTCTGCTTTCCTCCCTCTCCAGGCTGCAGCATGCATGTGAATGGCAACTTGTCAAGGGACGGAAGGGAATGGGGAATTGCAGATTAGATTAGATGAGGCAGCCGGCAGCGAGCAGGGTTTTCGAATCGAATCGGGGCCTTGTTCTTGGCCTTGGCGTGCGGTGTGCAGGGGGAGTAGTGACGAAGATTGAAGAAGAAACAAGGGGATAGGCTCGATGGATAGGGAAAGAAGGAAAATGGCCGAGTGAGCCTCTCCTCTCCTTTTGACGAAGGGGGAGGGGGACGAGACGGCCCGTGCTCGACCGGGGGACCAATCACCAATGCAAATTGCAATGGCAATTGCCAAGCTTGCTGCTTTTGCTGTTGCTTTTGCAGTTTTGCTTGCTGCTACGGTAGCAGTAGGACTCTTGTGTTGGACCAATTTCTTTCTTTAATTTAGCTTGCACAACCTTTCATTCAAAAAAAAATTAATTTACAACAGACAACGAATTCATTCATTCATTCGTTTACCGTCCGTCCACCACCACATCTGGCCTCTCGCCATCTCAAAAGTTGATGCGCCTCCTCTTCTCCCCTCTCTCTCTCTCACACACACACATAACCATAGGAGAAGACACAAAAGAAAGGCACCCCGTGCCTCAGCAGTGTCGGCAACGCATGACCCTACAGTACAGTATATGCCCTTAGCGGCCTTTATTTATTTATTTCTTCCCAACATACTATATATATATATATATATTTTTGTTTCTTCTATATAATAATATAGATAGAGTTTGTTTTATTTCCGGTCTGGCTTGGCCTCCTATCCCACTGCGTTTGGCAATTGGCCGTGCGCCCGTGCCTACCACCGTCTGGATCTGCTTTGGTTTTGTCCGCCCACTCACTCCGTGAACTATACGTATATACTGTTTATTTATGCGTTGCTACTGCAGGGGGCACTCCTGCTTTTGTCTGGCCAACCCATCCCAGCTTGTCACTGGGCTATCAGATTTTGAGGCCTCATTTCCAGACCGCGGGTGTATGCCTAGCAGTCAAGCCAGTTTGGCTTTGGCCTCGTTTAGTTGGCGAAATTTTTTGAAAAATGGTACTGTAGCACTTTCGTTGTTATTTGGTAATTAGTATTCAATTATAGTCTAATTAGGTTTAAAAGATTCGTCTCGTGAATTTCATCTAAACTATGTAATTAGTTTTATTTTTTATTTATATTTAATGCTTTATGCATGCGTCCAAAGATTTGATGTAACGAGGAATCTTGAAAAATTTTACAAAATTTTGGGAACTAAACATGCACTTTGGCGGGCAAGTGAACGCTTGCGAACTCGATTTGGTCGGCGTCAGTGTTTGTCGTTTTCCGCGCGCTTCCCTCCTTCCCCGCTTCACAAATCGCAGCCCCCAACCTGCTTGCTTCAGACGAGATCCCCAATCCACCACACCATCTTGTATATCTAGTCCAACCGAACTCGACTCTTCCACCACCGCCAGCCAGCATCAGCCATGGCGCCCCCAAAGCCCGCCGCTCCCCCGACTCTTCCACCAACAAGAAGAAGGTCACCCCCAAGGAGGTCGCATTCCTCGTCGACTGCTACCTCGCCGACAACGGCTTCAGCGCAGCGCTCGCCACATTCCGCTCCGACGCCACGCTCATCTACAGCCCCACCAAATAAGGCAAGAATACCCCCAGGAAGCCCATCCCGCTCACCGACATCCTCGATGAGTATATCGCCCTCAAGGAGGCCAGCGTCGCCATCGAATCCTTCATGCACGCCATGCACTCTCTCGTCTCCACCTAGTACGCCTCCTCGTCCACGCTGCCGCCTGTTCCGCCTCATATCAATATGAATCTGAACATGATGATGATGCCTCCCCTTCTGCCACCTCATGCCGCCACCGTACTAGTGCCCAGCCGGCATCCGCCATCCCCGCCGCTCGTCCCACCGCTCTTCTTCGCGCCTAATTCTTCGTCACCTCCGTCACAAGGTATTTCCCTTGCCCCTACCTGTTCGACCCTTGCTTTCTTCTCTTCTGCTTTATTTACTGTATGTACTGCTCTTCCTTCCTCAATTAAATTCATTCTCTGCTGTTGCTACTGCACGCACTACCTGACATGCTTCGCCTGTCATTCATCACTACGCTCATGCATCCACCGCGGTCCTTGTCCACAACTCCTCCACAGATTTGTCCACACCAGCTCCCACCTCTCTGCCCACTAATAAAAAGAGGAAGGTTCAAAGTCTTCAGGGAAGACCACCGCTTCAGCCTCTAAGAGATCGTGCATTGCTCCTGCTACAACCACCGATGGAAAAAGGTACACAACTTCTCACTTGCTGTGGAATCAAAAAAACTTCTCACTTGTTGTCCTAGCTTCTTCAAATAGCCTTAGGTCTTGTTCGTTGCATCCCAAAACATAGGGATCAGGGGGGAGGATTGGAGGGAATTGAGGAACATTTTGACCTGTAGAGGATTCAATCCCCCTGAACCCCTAACAACCCCCTTGTTTTTGGGGGGGGGAGCGAACAGGGCTTTTTAAGTTGTATGTATCTATGTTATTGACAATTGATTATGAAGCATTACTACCTATGCTTCTCTATTAATTCTCCGTTGCACGTTTGTTAACCCTAACAATCTTTTCTTCACAGTTTCTTAAGAATTTGGGATTTCCTCTAGCACTGTTAGTCGCTGAATTCTTACTCTTGGTAGTAGCAGAATGTTGACACCGTTTTTTGCACGTGTCAAAATGATCGGAGTGGACTGATCGGCAAGGGGAAAGTTACTGTATACTCTGATAACCGATGAAAGCCAGCTTGTAAAGATGGTTGCCGATAGCTGGTGGTGGTCGATGGAAAGGTTGATTTAGACTCGGGCGTTGCCGATGAGGTTGGAGGTGTTATTGTCGATGCCGATGAAGGGAGGCTTGAAGACTACTGCCGATGAAACAGGGAGTATGCCGATGAAGGAAGACTTGAAGACTCTGCCGATGAAACAGGGAGTATGCCGATGGGAAGGAGGACGGTGAGATTTCCATCGTAATTGAGGCGGACAGGGAAATAGATAGGAGTTGATTTCCTTTTCTATATTTGTTAGAGCATGACTCATGTAAGAGTCACGTGTTTCCTTAGATATGGGCTTGGTGTCCTAGTTGTGTTTGGTTGTGTCTCTTTAGATCAGGGTATAAATATGGAGTGAGGGGCAATGTAATGGATATATCAATCAATATCAAAACCAAGTTTTACTCCTATTTACATCTACTTACTTTTCGGCGACTTCGTCAATTTGCATATTTTTCTTTTTACGAGTTCTCATTGATTCGGCGAGTTGCATTGTCTCAGTGCGACCTTCGGCGATTCTCGAGTTCCGCGTGAGTACCCCTTGGCCGTGACTTTCGGGCGTATCGGCGTTGTCGGGACCAAAGTGCTCAGATATCTTCATCCTTGTCGATTAACGAGTCAAATCGACCGCACGCTTTGGATATCGATTCTATTAGCCCTTTGTGTTTGCGAGATCCACTTTTGCATCAACACATCTTTTGGCACGCCGGGTGGGACTAATCAATCCGATCAATATGTTCAATTCCGAGATCGATCACGGGGAACATTATCGCGGTATCGAAGAAGATCTTAAGGAAGAGCGAGGCGAGGCTATGGAAAAGGCTCAGAAGAATACAGCAACTTTATGTCGAAATCGTTTAGCTTTGAACAAGAGTGGACAAGTCATCCGAAGCAAGATTTGCCGTTGCCTCGGCGAGTTACCTTTGACTCAATCTGGTAAACTTCAAGAGATGGTTAATTACGCAATAAATCATGCTTTAATTAATCATTCCAATGTGTTTGTCCAATCTTGTTCATAATCTTTGTGGTTCGAACTCTCAAAGAAGGACAAGCATCACCGCATTATGTTGGGCCCGCCTATCACCAACCGTAACCCAGCATCTCGTCAATACTCCATCGGCTCCCTCGGCCGTTGTGGGTACTGAAGTTACTTCTTCTCCGATGTCGGCGTTTTACCTAATATTCAATCTACACCAATACGATCGGATCCGATACTACCAGAGGGACGAATTCACTTTAATACGATCTATCTATCGGCATCGGCTATGTCAGTCCTGTGTCTCAAAATAGCCGATTCACGCTAATTGGTGGGGATATGGTATGCCTCCCGAGTCATCTCGCTTTCAATCTGGATTACCTCAAGTGTTTGATGCGATGAGGAAAAGCTCCTATACCATCGGCTATTTCACGATGGCCCAAGTGCTCTCAATATGCCACAAAGAACTCATGTGCAACCAACTCCGGGGTTTCCAGATGCCTTCGGTTCAAACGCCCGATTCAAATCTATCGGCAAGCTTATCGCCGATACAAAGAAAAAACCCTGTTATGAGTCAAACTGGGGTTCATTTATGCCTCAAGTCGGTTATAATTATCCAACAATGTCGACAAATTATCGACCATCGGTAAGTTTTGTACCGATGAGTTCTAATAATGGTTGGTCGGGATGATTACATGTTCAAATCTGATTCAAAGAAAATCGGCGGGTTTGCATGGATTCAACAAGGTCATATGCAAGCTGGTTTTTCGAGAATCAAGCATCGGCAACTCAAATAGATGAATCCTTTCCAAAGAAAGTTAATGGACCACAAGTAACGGCAAATATGCCGATTGTTTGAGATCGTGAGCCACAAAGATATGTGGAAGGATATCGGCAGTACCTCTGTGAGAAATTCAGCCGATTAAATCGGCAGGAGGTTGATGCTTTTGGGCCGATAAGATAGCGTAAATTATAAAGGATCGGTTTGGGATAAAGCCCAAGGTCAATACTTATTCTTATCGG